ATATATATATATATATATATATATATATATATATATATATATATAACTATTTATTGTCCTAGAGATCATGTGGTGCTCTTTAATATGCATAATTCTAATTTCAATTCAATAATAGACAATGCAATAATAAACACCACACACTACAACAATATTTATCTATTAACCTACTACTGCTACAATTTCTCATACTTCTAATACATTTTATTTTACTACTACTACTAACCCTCTAATCTTATATATTTCCATCCATATATTTCCATCCATATATCCATCATCTATCTTATTAAATACTGTAAAAAAAATGCAGTTGTTTCATATTGACATGTTATTCCTGTTGTTTCACCATTTTATTTTGTTTTTTTAGTTAATCCGTCTACCTGTTCCAAGGTGCAGAACTGCTATGCCGCTGTCCATCAGGGTCACAGCTAGCTTGCTGTATGTGACCCCCTTGCGCACCAGTAAGGGTGCTGCACTAACACTGTTCTCCATCAAAGGGTGGTCCCTCACAAATGTCAGCACCTTGTCTGGGAGTTTCAAGGATGACTCAAATCCTTCCGATTTTAACACATGGTTGAGACACTAGAACACATTTTTCAGAAGACAAAAGTATCTTTATGGCCTCCTGGTAGATAGTAAAGAACAAGCTGAAAATGTTTTGTTTTTTTGTTTTTTTTTTACCTGACCAGGCCTTGGAGCAGGTACAGGTTCGGGGTTAATCCAGTTGTCACATGTCTTTTTTAGCTCTTTGAAGGGTCCATCCATTACTTTGCTGATGTCAGACAAACTAAAAACACACACTGCTGACATCTCCTCATTTTCCCTAGGTAAAGGGTGCAAAGGATGTTAAAGAGTTAAACACTTTTTTGAAGGCAGTGAAAGAAAACATCAAATATTTATTACATTGCTACATCCTTTTTTTTACACAGGCATTTATTATACACACGCTTCTTAGGTCTACAATTATGGTTATATTTTAAAACCTAGTTGACCCCACTGTAGGACAGAATAACCAAATCGGTTGGAGGGGCTTAAATGTGTAAATGGGATGTGTGCTTGACACTGTCTTTAAGACATCATGAAGAAACACAACATGATAAAAAATCCCTCTCTCCTTAACCAACGTCTGACTAAACTCTCCTTTTTACACAACACCTCATCAGTCTGCCTCGTCCTCATCTTACCACTGTGAGGTAAAGAGTCCATAGAAGTGTGTGCTGCCAGGGTCACCCTGTGTGTGCCGTATGGTGAAAACATCAGTCAGGATGTTGTAGCGCTGACTACTGGGCTTGTCCTCACACACAAGCTGGGCTTTAAGGAAAGTAGTCCAACGTCGCTGAAGTGTCTTCATTCCACCCACATCGGACTGAGCAGACGAGTTGACAGAGAAGGGGTTCAAAAGACATGCAGCAACGGCAAAAAAAAAAAAAAAAAATCAATCAATCAACCCTGAAAGGGTGAGCTTACCTTGCAGACTCGGGCAACCCTGGGGACCTTAACTTTGGTGTAGAGATCGTACTCTTTAGCTACTTCAGTAAAAAAGAAGTAGATCTTGTCATCATCTCCGTTGGGGTTATTTCCTGGAGACTGCTCTATGAAGGCTGAGCTGACGAACTCTGGGTCTGAAGACACAAACACACACTAAAACAAAAAGTCTTCAAACTAACCATCCATCCATCCATCCATTTTCATCCCCTTATCTGTTACCGGGTCGTGGGGGTAGCAGTCGCCACCCAAATCACACTGCACCGTACCAACCCCCCCAAACCTTCCTGTGGGTGGTGAGTCCACTGGAAGGTACCAACTGCCCTAACCGGGATTCGAACTTGCCCAGGAGGTGAACCCTGGGGTTCCACACCAATGACAGAGACATTGCCTCTGGGCCAAAGCGCCACTCTTCAAACTAACACGTTGTCATATTAGAAAACATACCAAAAACTAAGGATAAAATTGGTATGAAAATAAAGAGAAATAAAATCAACCTATCTGCAAACAGTTGATAATATGGTCAGCTAAACAGAAAGTGAGCAGAGCTTTGGCCCCAGTCGGTCATTTCAACTGATAGCTCTGTGTCAAATCAAGTGTCAGTTGAAGTGAAGCACTATTTGGATGTTTCAATAGACTAATGTACACACATGGTTAGTTACATAAGTGTCAACAGAAAAGTGACTCGGTGAGATGCCGGCTCTACCTCTACCCACAGCTTATACTGTGTAAGAGTGACCAGCATGGGCGTAAGGGTATCAAGACTTGGGAGTATTTGTCTCTCACCACTGAGCCAGTTGATGGATCGTTCAGTCCTGATGCGCTCCTGCTCAGGTCCTGATGCTCTGGAGATGTCAAACAGTGTCCCAAGAAAGTTACTGGTTGCTGCTGTGTAAAGAATCCCTCCTAAAAAAGAGAACACACCTGTTTATATAAAGCCTGATATAGGAAAACAGAAAAAAAACACCGTCGTATTACACACCTGCCATGACTGCCGTATAGTGCTGACTTGGCTCAAAGGGACACTTGCCCTTCCCTGTCTCCATTTTCACTCCTCCATCTTCATTTTTCTCCAGAGTGAAGGAGGTGACATCCTTCAGGAAACCAGAAACAGAGTTGTATGGTACATTAGTGTCTTTATTTATCAAAATATCAGATCAAAATGTACGTACATCATATTTCAGATGAATATTTAGTTTAGGTTAAAGGGTGAGCTGATGGTTGTTTTTTTTTAATAATAATGTAAATGGCCACACGGACTTACCATAAAGGCACACTGGGGGTCAAAGGCATAGGTTCCACAAACATAGACGCGTCCCTCCTCCAGAAACTCCATCAGGCGGACGTAGTTATGACAGTCCACCTGCAGAGGGTGACAACGAGCCATTAAAGGAAAAAACAGATCCAGGTTCGGCACAAACATTGAAAAAGACGAATGAAGAAACACACTGGGCTGTGAAATGTTTTAACGTGATCTTTACAAATATTTGTCTCATTATTAACAGTGTACAAAACCTCTCCTTCCCAAACTTAGATTTACAATGTCTTAAAAAATCTAACCCATGAAAAAGTACGGCCATACCAAAATTTGTTTTTGTTCATTAACACCAATTATTCATCCCACCCATCCACAAACACACACAGAAGAGAGAGAGAGAGAGAGAGGGAGAGAAAGAGAAAGGGGGGGTGAAGTTTCATGCAGAGAGAGAGAAATTTCCTAATTCCTAAATTAATTTCTGCTTTTTTTAACATTAAGATTAAAAACATTGTTGTGGTGTATTAATTTCTGCTTTTTTTAACATTAACATTAAAAACATTGTTGTGGTGTATTAATTAATAATGCTTCATAAATAATGCATTTCTAAGTCGAACACTTTCGGCACAAACTATACATTTCAGCTTTGGAGAGTAGGGACAGTCCCTCACTTCAGGGAACTCCAAAATGGAAACTGGCACTGGCCCTTGTTGCTGCAATAATTCTTGTCTTTTCTGCTACTGTACACCTCCAACAATACTGTAACAAAGTATTATATACAATATATGTATATATGAAAAGAAAACGGAAATTTGTCAACTATAAGGCTTGAATTGGCCATCTAAATAATTGTTGTTTTTTTTTTCTTTTTGAAAGACGCAACCCGGCAATGTTTAAGGTGAAGTTCTGCCACCTGCTGGCTGAAATATCCACTGCAAATACTTACATCCAGAAGCTGACTGACCGTAAGGAAAACACAGACAGACACCAGACAGACAGACAGTAGCATTGTTGCTAAAACAAAGCACCTAATTAATGAAGGAGGTCAATCTGATATTATTTGGATATGTATGTTTGTTTTGTTTTAAACTTCTTGGAAATCAAGCCTTTTTAATGACCTTTAATCACCATCAAAGCAGCTATGGAGAACGATGTCGAGCCATGTTGATTTTTGTGAAATATAGAAAAATCACTACTAAAAATCCAAATTAATTCCAAATTAAATCTTGCCTGAATATTCATGATTTTTTGCTTAAAATCCATAATACACAAAGGTTAGAGAAGATACGAATCCCACTATTGTTTTCATTCATTGTTTAATCTAGACTGTCTTGCCACCACTAGCTTATAGAAATGTAAGTGTAAGTGTGTGTGAAGAAGCAACAAAGACAAAAAAGCTAAATAAAAAGAATAGGATCACAGTAGATTTGACCTACTTATGCATGATTCTTGTTGGGTTTTTTTCCCCCAAATCTGCCACATAAGTTAGTGTAGGTTTCTAAAACTTCCAAAATCTTATGATGATGCACTTAACAGCCAGAAAAACAAACTTTTCATGGGCAATTTGCTGTGGATGGTTCATTCACCTGTGGATGTCAGAAAGAAAAATGCACCATGTACCATGATGTGTTTTGTACATGAATGCATATCGTCTACTATTCTCTCTATCCTGTTTCCTTCTCGCTCTTCTGCCTAAAGCCTTGGATTAAAACTTTAAGTCAACTGTCCTGCAGTGATATTTCTGGCTTTTTATATGAATTATTTGTTTTAAGGCAGATTTCAGAATAGCTATGTTGATGAACACACATAGAGAGAGAGAGAGAGAGAGAGAGAGAGAGAGACCCCTGAAGTGTTGGCGTGAGTCCCAGAATTTCCCATCTGATCTGAACAGCAAGTGGCTGTGACACACACACACACACACACACACCCACCCACACACACACACACACACACACACACACACACACACTCTCTCTCTTTATTTAGTGAAGTGGTAAAGTTGTAAAATATATAACACACTAGGGATCAAATATCCAAAACTACACTAAAAATAATGTATTTTTATAACATCAGTAGTTGAAGAGCTGTGTGTGAATACTGGAAGGTGAGTAAAGCAGTGATAAGTGCACAAGACTGCGTGAACACACGGCTCTTACCTCTGTCTTTCCTTTAGCTACACACGATCTTCTCTTCTCCATCGGTACGTCCCACATGATCTGGACACAAGACAAACAGTTCATTTTTTCATAGCTGAAAAATGATGTTAAGTCTTGCCCTAGATCTCTCAACATTTCAATAGGATTAGGTCTCGTCACGTTCAATCTCACATTAAAAACAGACCCAAACACAGTTCTCTTACGTTGCGGGCTGGTTTGTCCAGTTGATTGGTGTCCACTGACAATATTGCGTCCCGGGCCCCTAGAAAGAGCAGACCTGACGACGGGTCCAACAGGAAAGTGCTGAAGTTGGTCACACCACCAAACCTTTTTGGATCAAGAATGACATCTGCGGATCATGAAGGGACAGAGATGGGTTAAGAAATATTTTTTTTATGATTGCACAAATTCAGTCAGTGATTGTTTTCATTATAACAATGCAAAGCACCATTTTTGTAGGATAATATCAGACATTATTCTATTATCTGATGTGTGTGCTAGACTGGTTTCACAGATGTGTCCACTATTAGGATGGCCTGGGGAAATAGAAAAGACGTAGACAACAATTGGAATAGGCAAAACAAATACTTGAAAGAAAACTGTAGCTATAAAAGGGGATGTAAACCCATGACAAACGTTTTTCTTCTCTGAACTGTGAACTGTGTTTAGAAAGCAGATTTCTGAATAAGTTCTTTAAAGTAAGTTAGTGGTCACCGGAAGTCTTCTATTCATTTTCAGTGTTCTTATGTCAGTCATTTTCTTTTTTAAGTTAAATTCAGTGGATACTTCAAGAGTTCCCAGGGAATGCTAAATGAAAATATTGTCTCAGAGCACTACCTGATTAATTTCATTAAAGATATCAAGCAGGTCTGGGCTCAAGTGTCAGGGATGTGCTGGTGAACAGCACTGTCACAGCTTCGACCTGATTTTCCACTTAGAGGCCGTCTGTGCTGTTGTGTATCTGACATCTGTCTGGATGTGATTCACAGACACTCCCTCCTCCCCCTTCCACTCAGGTTTCCTGCACCCAGACAGTGTGTGTTGGTTAGCTGTAGCATTTTACACGAATGTCATCTCTTGTTCACTCAGAAAACATCTGGCACCAAAAACCTTCAGGCTGTCTGCAGAGCAGGAAAGGTCGAACAGATTCAGAGACCGAAGAACAGAGGTTTCATACAGACGCACACATTAAAACACTAAATCTGTCATCTGGACATATGCACGTCTTAATCCAAACACCCAAGTTCTTCAACAAACTCTTTTCTCTTCAGTCGACCAAACTAAGGGGCCGTCCTTCCATTAGCCTGTATTTTCAAACGTCAAAGGACATCCCTACTCCAGCTGAATCAGAGCTTCTAGCACACACACATATACACACACAGGGACATAATCAGACATGAATCTTAGTGACACACGCCAAAGGCAGTATAAAAAAGATGTCCTCATGAACTGGTTATCACCGACTGTGAAGGATGTAACTCACACATGAACACCACCTGCTGGTCACCCTCATGTAGAGAGATGATTCCCAGAGATACACCATCTGCCCTGTTCTCGCCTTCTGTCACACGCACACACACACACACACACACACACACACACAGGTCCACATTGCTTAACTGAAGAAGTAAAAAATCAGATTGGAAGTTCCACCTTAAATAATTCATTATGGAAAAGAAGGTTGATTTAGGAGACGGATTGATGCCAGGTGCCAACCAGGTGTTGATGCCCGGTGGGCTCATCTGAACGTAAAAAAAAAAAAAAAAAAATCTGTTTTACTGGTGTGAATCATCATCAATCAAAACACACTGTTGATGCTAGAGGTCCTACAGAAAGTGATTCAAACACAGAAAAATGTTCAGTGAGCTGCAGTGAGCTTGGCAAAACACACTGTTGATGCAATGGAAAAAAGCAGAAGGGCTAGACTGGTTCATGCTAATGGAAACAAAAGCTAAAAGTTAGACAAAGAAGCATCACTAAACTTTGTTTTTACTCAGTGGGCTACAGTCAGTCTCTCAATAAATACATTTCTTGCTGCAAAAGATGTTTTTGTATTCATCTGTTGTACCATGGACAAAATCCCAAAGATGCAAAATTGTGTAGTATTTATTTATTGACCTCATAATAGTGTCCTGATTATTTGAAGCACACTCAGTCTACCTTTAGTCCATTGAAAAGAGCCTTAGGAGTCACATGTGGGTCAGGAGCCACAGCCTGCAGACCCCTGGACGTGGACGTAAGCGGGTTCACAACACGCCTTGCAGGCAAGGGAGGGTCTTTATGTCACTGTTCCTTTAAATCTAAGAAGAGATCACTGAACATTTGGCCACATGGAGGCAGTATCACAACTGACACATCTGCATAAACCTAATTAGCATTATTGAATAGACAGTACATACGGTGACCGCCATATTTTGTGAAACACATGCCACTAATTTTGTAACTGTCAGTTCAATTTCTACTTTGCTTATAACTGTCTCCCCTGACTGTGTTCACCTCCTGCTAATAATACGCACGTGGTTAATCAGGCTTTTGACACTGTAAACACGTGTCTGCTGTTTCTGTGAAACCCAACTCTGAGGTGAACAGTGGAAAAGGAACAGAAAACAACAGACAATGAGTCTCTTTTACACAGAGAACGGAGGAATTAGTGTTCCTCTGAAAGCTCACACGTCATACTTCCATGTAAAACCTTCTACCTGACACAAAGTGGTTTGATCAGAAATGATTCCAACCTGGCAGCTGGTGTGTTTTGTTTTTGTTTTGTTTTTTTTCATTTCTAATAACTGAAAGGTGGAAATCCACGTGATGGGACACTACATGGACACGATGGATCGTTTAGAATGTATCAGATAATTACTTTACCGCAATGCTGTTATGGAGGGAATGTATTAGGGGGAATAAATGTATTGGTTTATGTGTTGAAATCAAACCAAACAAATCCTGAAAAGTGAGTACGAATGAATAAGCAGCCCTAAAATACAAAATCTCCCCCTGTCATGAATCATTAATTTATGATACATTAATCATGACTGAGAGGCACCGAGGGAGAGACCACAGGAGGATTTCTGTGCGTGTGTGTGTGTGTGTGTGTGAGTGGAATGGGGGTGAGGGGTGGCATGTCCATTAGGGTTTTATAAACTGGCTTCTGCTCTTGGGGATCAATCTATGAGTCTGGCTGCAGGGCATTGTGGGTTCGGACCAACCAGGAAGTGATAAATTATACACCTCCCTCCAACGGCTGTCAATCAAAACTGACAAGGTGAGGAGAAAATATGAGGCGCACACGAGCTCCTGCCCCCATAGCCTTCACATGCACGCACACATGCATCATAGTACACACACAGCTGCACATACAACGAGACAGGGCACAGCTGTGAGATCTGCACACTTTGCAGAAACATATTTGAAGCCATAGCAGCAGTTTCCTGTTAATTGTTCACCCGCAGTCGGGAGCAGACATACGCCACAGGTTCAAGGAGACTTTTAAAAAAATGGTCACATTAGACAGCCGGGCCATACTTTACGTTACTCCTGCAACTTGATTCGTAAGAGCCTGCAGATATTTCCAGGTTTAGTCTGAGTCACGAGGCGGTGAGGCCTAATAATATGTAATATAAAAATAACAATCAGTAACAGGAAGAGAAATCAACCATTTAAGAACGTGTTGAGATTAGTGTCAGCTGTCATTGAACAAAAAATTGCAAAAGTGGAAGTGCATAGAATGACAATCAGAGCGACAGATGGACACAACAAGTCTACAGTGTTGGTAACCTGAGGAGAAAAAAACACACTTGTGTCAAACTCACTTTTACCAGAGGGCCACATCAGCAATTCAGTTCCCCTTGAAGGGCGGGTTGTAACTGAAGACTGTATAGATCAGGGGTCAGCATCCCCCGGTCCACAGACCAGTCCATAGGTCTCTTATTATTTATTTAAGCTAGAAATATTGTTCATTGCTGTGTAATAGAAAACTTTTAATTTGTTAGATCAAGAAACTCTGCTGCATGGACTTTACTAAATATTTTTTAAGTGCACAAAACGGTTTGGCGGGCCGCATTTGGCCCCCGGGCCTTGAGTTTGACACGTATGCTCTAAAATATCAAGTTTAAATAGATAAGAAAAATTTGTTTTCGACAAATTAAGTCTGAGCTGCAGAATGTGAATATGCCATAAGTTGTTAATTCAAATTTGAAGGCTCAAGCCAGCACATATGAAAAGTTCTAAATTACAGTATGACATCATGAAACATTACAACAGGCTTAACCGTGGACATGCTGTAAAAGACAGCAACAGTAAAGACTGTGTGGTGGGTTAGAGATGAACACTCACTAGTTCATTTTAAACATTCTTCAAACTTTCAAATTTGATCTGGATACAGCGCCGACCGCTGCTTTGAAATCCAACCGTTTAAATCCCTGTGCACACAGTTTAAATCCTGGGGGAAATGAGTGATAACCAGGCATGAAGAACCAAGCTTGACAGGGAGGAGGAAAGAAGAACTAGAGGTGAGAAAGTGGGCAAAAAAAGAAGAAATGTTTCAGCAGCCCCACTTCATGCTCTGTTACTCTTCTTAGTCTCTGTCATCTGTCTTTTGGTTTTTCACCATTTCCTCTTCAGGTGTGTTCTCAGATTTTATTTTTTTTTTTCTTTCTCTTTCCCAGTTCCTCCTCCACCAACCTCACTCTCTTCCTTTCCTGCTGGCTCTGTATGATAAGAACCACCAGTGCTAATCAGTCTTGGCCTAAATTCGCTCATGCCTTGCAGTATTATCATGTGCAGGAGCCACAGTGTGTGTCGGTGCCAGTACTGGCTGAGAAGCCTCCAGTACAGCAGCTCTTAGATAGACAGATATGTCAGGGTCTGGTCTTACAATACTGATACAGTATAGTACTTACTAAAGATCACTGCAACACAGAACAGTGGTTTAATAGAACGTATAAACATACACATAAAATATGTATTAGGGAAGAAAAAAAAATTCCCACTCAACAAACTTGGCAGTGAACTATTCTGGACAGATATCTTCTGCTCAGAGACCCACAGTCACACATCCACGATCACCCTGCCCGCTTGGTAGATTGAGACTAAACAGTTAGCTAATCTGTGGTTCTACAGCCAAGCAATGCAGCAGAACTAGCCACGACACACAAACTCAACTGTTCCCAGCATTCACAGCAGTTTGCAAGTGGCTGAGTAAAAAGGTAATAGACAAAAAAAGCAGACAAGAGACCTGAGACTAAACACACAGAGCTAGAGTATTCAGCTCAACGTTTTTCTTTTACTGCTACATACAAGGGATTAAAAAGAAAGGGATAATTGACTCAGGTAGAGGGCGCTGAAAGCTTA